CTTGGGTTTATCTGGAGATGTCAGCTGCTTGGGCTATATTCTCAGACGAGCTGAAGAAAAACACACCATTAAATGGGGAAAATAGCCTTGTTCAAATACTGGCACGTTCTTAAGTACCCTCTCGATGTGTGCTGTGCTGAATCAGAACATTTTTGATACTAGATTAATTTCCGAAATATAATTTTTTTTGTTTTTATATTTTTCAATATATTTATTTTATTTGTGCAAATTAAAGAAATAATTTGTAATGATACAATATGGTCACACCAGTGCTGCCAGCTAAAACATGCACAGCAACAAAAATAATATTGGAGTAGCCCAAGACATAGCCAAATATTGCAGTGCCACAGTACTAGCAGAAATTTGAATTTGCCAAATGGATTGCTTTTGGTTAACCAATGTTTCGGTTGATCGGTATTTGGATAATCGATGCTCTACTGTATTAGTTATGCAATAACCAGTTAATCTAAACAACTAATTATTAAAATAATTTAACTATAAATGAAAGGCCTCAAATGTGTAATATTTTAATGTAGTGAATAAATACATTTCTATAGTAAGACACCAACCGAATGCCGTAAATTAATCGGGCTATTTTAATGCTAAATTCTAAATTCTAATTTATTTAGAATTTAGCATTAAAATAGCCCGATTAATTTACGGCATTCGGTTGGTGTCTTACTATAGAAATGTATTTATTCACTACATTAAAATATTACACATTTGAGGCCTTTCATTTATAGTTAAATTATTTTAATAATTAGTTGTTTAGATTAACTGGTTATTGCATAACTAATACAGTAGAGCATCGATTATCCAAATACCGATCAACCGAAACATTGGTTAACCAAAAGCAATCCATTTGGCAAATTCAAATTTCTGCTAGTACTGTGGCACTGCAATATTTGGCTATGTCTTGGGCTACTCCAATATTATTTTTGTTGCTGTGCATGTTTTAGCTGGCAGCACTGGTGTGACCATATTGTATCATTACAAATTATTTCTTTAATTTGCACAAATAAAATAAATATATTGAAAAATATAAAAACAAAAAAAATTATATTTCGGAAATTAATCTAGTATCAAAAATGTTCTGATTCAGCACAGCACACATCGAGAGGGTACTTAAGAACGTGCCAGTATTTGAACAAGGCTATTTTCCCCATTTAATGGTGTGTTTTTCTTCAGCTCGTCTGAGAATATAGCCCAAGCAGCTGACATCTCCAGATAAACCCAAGAAAAAGAAAGAGTTTTGCTTGTTTTGTGTGGTGGTTTTCTGAGGACTATGTTTTGGAACGTGTGTTGTGCTGAATCGGAACATTTTTGATACTAGATTAACTTCTGAAATATAATTTTTTTTTTTGTAAATCTTTGTCCAATGGCGATGATAATGATTAATTTTTTTTTTGAAGACAAAGTCTTTCCCAAAAAGAGGAACCACCATTTATTAACTTTGTGTTCCAGACATTACACTTTTGGCGACTGACCTTCTCTTTTAGACTAGACTACTGGCCACCAAACAGTCCTTTAAAAACACAAACATATATCCAATTAAAAATATAAACATTTCTAAAAAACAGGAACTGGTGATATACGGACGTCTTCTATTCTCCATCATACCTTCTTGGGGTTGTTTCGGCTTTTATCTACAACAGAATAGGCGCTGGTAAAATGTAGATGAGGAAAGCTGCTTTTTAAAAATGTTTATATTTTAAATTGGATATATGTTTGTGTTTTTAAAGGACTACACTCTCTTCAACCTTAAATGACCAGCAAAATATTTAAAAATACTACAAATGTTTTCGACCATTATTTCCGGTTTTCTTCAGGCAGAAAGTTCCGAGATTTGAATATCCGTTGTGCTTGAAAAAATTTAAATTATTCTTAGAACGTATGAACCGATGCATATAGACATTTATACTGCACGTGTGTATTATGCATAACTTATACAAATGAAATAATATATTTTTTAACACACACATATAAAAAAACCATGGAGATCCGGATTAAATAGGGTCTTCCTGTTCATAGTAGAGCTTCAAGCATTGGAAATATTAATAGCATCCTTGGAGTTGATGCAGTTATTGTGTAGCCCAGCTTTGTATATTTTGAGAGTTTCCAGCGAACGTATATGTTTTCTTCGGCTTGATTATATTAATTATTTGGGCATTATGCAGGTCCGCTCTTATGCCCTGGGTTGAAGCATAAGTACACAAGGCAGTGGTACCCCTTTTATGTTCAATGTCATATCTGTGTTCCCGTAGACGCTTATCTAGAGAACGTATTGTAGAGCCAATATATACAAGGACCCTTTGAAACCTATGGTCCCTTAATGGAACCAAGTATACCCCTGGAGCCAATCTTATGTTTATGCGATCTTTGCAGTTGCAGAGGAAGTCATAAACAGTACCCCGTTTTTTATATGAAATTTTATTGTTCGTAATTGCCGCAATTTCTCTATAAATAGGGTCCAGGTGGTGGTTATATTGAATGACATCCCAAGATTGTGGATTGTTTGAGATGCTAGTGCTTGAGTTGTTGTTGTTGTTAATATTATATAATTGCGATCAATAGGCACATGCCAGTTTCTGGGTTAATCCCCGCTCATATCCATGTCGAGAGGCTATGTACTGAATGCATTGTAATTCTATCAATGTATCTTCGAATTTTGTATTGTGTGTGAATGCTCTTTTGGTTAGGGCCCTGAATGCCGCTAACTTATAAGCCATAAGGTCATCCGAATTGGCAAGGATGAATAGAGGAGTATAGAATGGCTTATAATAGACCTTAGTTGATATCTTGTCCCCTTCCAATTGTACACTGATATCCAGGAAGGTTGCATTCGAATTACTTATTTGGTCTAACTTGATGCTGAGGCCATATGGGTTATTATTCATTGCATCTATGAAACTATAGATATTGGGCTTAGCCTTCCACATAACGAAGATGTCATCCACATACCTCTTGTAAATAAGTATGTTATGTTCAAATATGGGTATGATTTTTTGTTCCAGTTGTCTGATGACTAACTCGCATAAATCTCCCGATAGTGGGTTGCCCATGGGGACACCACGTTTTTGGAGGTAAGTATTGTTGTTGAAGCGAAAAAATGAGGTGTAGCATAATATGTGCGCAAGTTCTAAAACATGTTTACGGTGCGTGCCATGATAAGTTAGTAATAGATCCCTAATGGCGCAAAAGCATGGCTGAATTTTTATGGATGGGTATAAAGATACGAAATCAAGCACCGTGATGTACATTCATTCATTTATGCTCATCGATTTCAAAGCCTCCAATAAATCCAATGAATTCTGGACCGTCAATGGATAATCATTCAAGCAGTGAGTTATACGCTTGTGTATGGCTTTGTCTAACTCTCTAGTGGGGGATCGTGCCTTGTCGAGGATCGGACTCAATGCTGGCATTTACTTATGCATTTTGGCGAATGCAAATAGCCTGAGAGTGTCTGGGGAAGGCACCACTGCCCTGTTTACATTCATCAATCTAGCTAACGGTGTTTGAGTAAACCTTTTTACACGTGCTTGCAATTTGTTGACATAGCCATCATCAATGGGTTCACACTCAGTATCATTGATGTACTTTTGCATCATTGACGTGTATGTGCTTCTCTTTAATACCACCAAAGCTTTGCTCTTGTCTGCCTTGAGTACCACTACGTTAATATCCCTTAACCATTTTTTGGACTCGGAAATCCACTTCCATATTTGGTCTTCATGAGGGCGGCTCTTAGTGTCTCGTATCTTTATTGCAGTCTTCCATCTGAAACATAACGCCCAAATAATTAATATAATCAAGCCGAAGAGAACATATACATTCGCTGGAATACATTCTTGAAATATACAAAGCTTGGCTACACAATAACTGCATCAACTCCAAGTATTCTATTAATATTTCCAATGCTTGAAGCTCTACTATGAATAGGAAGACCCTATTTAATCCAGATCTCCACGGTTTTTTTGTGTGTGTGTTAAAAAATATATTATTTCATTTGTATAATCTATGTATAACATACACGCGCAGTATGAATGTCTATATGCATCGGTTCATACATTCTAAGAATAGTTAAAATTTTTTCAAGCACAACAGATATTTGAATCTCGGAACTTTCTGCCTGAAGAAGACTGGAAATAACGGTCAAAAACATTTGTAGTATTTTTAAATATTTTGCTGGTCATTTAAGGTTGAAGAGAGTGTGGTGTATATTATACCAGTACCTATTTACGAAGGTTGAAGGTATTTTAAATTAAAGGACTGTTTGGTGGCCAGTAGTCTAGTCTAAAAGGGAAGGTCAGTCGCCAAAAGTGTAATGTCTGGAACACAAAGTTAATAAATGGTGGTTCCTCTTTTTGGGAAGGACTTTGTCTTCAACAAAAAATTTTTGAATTTTTGAAAACTTTTTTTATTTTACAAGAAATGAATTTTGTTTGTGCAAAATAAAGAAATAATTTTTAATGATACAATAGCCATGATTATTATTTTTAAAAAATTTTCATTAGGCTTAACATTGACAAAAATTCAATGCAAAGTGACATGCAATGGAGAAAAATTTCAGCGTCGGATAGGTTAATATATTTTTTCATACACGATCAGTTATCCGAACAACCCAGTCCCAAATTGTTTCGGATAATCGATGCTCTACTGTATATATAGATTTGATATTTTTTTATTTTTATTAAACTCTTCCATTGTTATAAATTAATTTAGTTTATTGACATTGGGAAAAAATATGTAATTTTAAAGAAAAATGTGTTTTATGTTTTGTGACTACAAGTTTCTCTTAATTTAGTGATATACATTTTTATTTTAAATTGCTCATTATGTTTATTTAAAATAAATAAACATTGTTTTTTAATTTTTAAACATTAATTTTAAAAAATAAAAAATAATTTTGAAATTACAAATTAAAATTACATGAATGTTGTTCTTATTTTTGTATATCACTTTATAAAAGTTGAATATAAAATTTTTCCAAAAACTAGGTCATGTTTTACAGTTAATGAATGAAAGATTACAGTCAGGATTTAGTGAAACTGATATTCTTAGGATATTTTGTGATATTTGTGAAGCTGTATCATGTTTACATCATAGTGTTAAACCAATAATTCATAGAGATTTAAAGGTAAGAATAATAATTTATTCTGTTTTATAATACTATTGTTAAAATTGGATATTGAATGAGAGGAAATTTAATGCTATTTATAATTTTGATTGCAATATTAAAACTAATTTTATTATTTTATGAATATTTATTTATGAGCTTTTATAAGATAAAGATTTAAGATCACTGTCTGGCATTAATAAAGTTTTGACAAGTAAAGCACAAAAATAAATACAAAATATCTTGCAAGCACTTTCAACATGTATGGAATGTCTTCAGGTGTAACGAAAACATATTTTAGAATGTTAATATAAATTTTAACATTAATCTTAATATGTTGAAAGTGCTTATGAGATATTTTGTGTTTATTTTTTGCTTTACTCATCAAAAATCTTATTAACACTGAAAGACAGTGATCTTAAACTTTTATTTAATAAAAATTTGTTGTAACAAAATAATTATTTCTTTCATATGAGCTTTTATATTAATATATTTAAAAATTAATTTCTTAAGTTAAATGATGAATTCTTATTGTATTTTGTAACTTGAATCTTGTAAGCAGTTATTTACAAAAATTTCTACTAATTTAGATTAGTAAAAATTTAAATTAGATATGATTTATATGTTTAAAATCATGAAAACCAAATATTGATATTTAGATAGTTCTGTTATGTAGTGAATCTCTAAAATTTGCCAATTATTAAATTTCTTGTTTATTCATTGAGATTAAGTATTGGAAGTAAATAAGTATACTTGATTGTGATATGTGCTATAGATTTGTTAGTTACTCATTAATAAAAAAAATTTGTTTTTTTCATTTAGTTAATCATTATCTGTTACAAACTTAAAAGTAAGAAAGTGGTTAATTCTAAGGGTGTAAAAGTAGGTTTATTAAATATTATAAAAGTAATTTTGTTAATATTTGTATGGTATAAGCATTTCATTAGACTTTTAAATATTTACCTTTTGTATTTGACATTAATGGTCACTTGAGTTTTCATTTTTATATAATTGTAATTTTTATAAATTAAAATTTTTTGTAAGTTTATTATTATATTATGTTATGTTGCCCATTGTCATTGTGAGGTATAAAATAATATCTTGCTTAATTTTAAAATAAACTGTATAAAATAGAAATGTAAGAATAATTATAAAGTTATTGTGAATAATTTAGAAATAGTTAGAATTTACTTTTTACTTTTTTTTTAAATTTGTTAAAATTTACAAATATGTTAAATAATACATATATAAACATCTTAACGTTCAAAAATTATATTAAAGCCAAATGATTACAGATTAAATTGGGCTACATTACTGCTATTAATAATTTTTAAATACTGAATAATTTTGGCATTAGAGGTAGGCATTAGGTACCATCTCAAATTTAATAATTATAATTAAATTAATATTTATTAAATAATTTACAAAATTCTGGAAGAAAAGAATATGCTTGGAGCAGGACTTGAACCTGTAACTACTGCTTGCTGTGTGGATATACCTGGACCTCCGTTAGATCCTTTCCTTCCAGACATATTTAATTTAGATATAACCATGTTAGTAGGCTTTGAGATGTTTATATGTGTATATTCACCTTTCCAGAGTATAGCAATAGCCAGCTGAGTGCCATAGTGAGTGATTACAGGCTGTAGGAACTGAATCGTCCCAGTTGGCACCATGAGTAACTAGTATGGTTATATCAAAATTAAATATGTCTGGAATTGAAGGATTGGTTGGAGGTCCAGGTAGTATAACTGGCAATGCATCCTCAGGGTAAGCAGCAGTTGTGGATTCAGGTCTGGGCTGACTCTTTTCTTCCAGAATGTTCTAAATTATTTAATAAATATTAATTTAATTATAATTATTAAATTTTATAATAATGGTACCTAATGCCTACCCCTGGTACCAAATAACTTGGTTCTTAATAATTATTAGTAGCAATTATTTAATTTAGCAACTGATTTAATCTTGTAATCATTTGACTTTAATATGTTAAATAATAATAAGTGTAAATATGAGTCATTCTAATTGTACAGGCAAATTAATATCTTAGAATTAGATTCAGTGATTTACAGAATATAGAAAATCAAGAATTACTGATTGTGTTACTTTAATGTAGAATCAAAAGTGGGATAAAATAATTTATGAAAATGAAAAATTAGGCAAATCTAAAGAATAATTCTAACATCGTGGAGCAATTAATATTTAATTATTTGTTAAATATATATTGCAATATTTCTTAAAATTAAAAAAATAATACAGGGTAGGTATTCATTTAACGTTTAGTTTACTCTAGTGTACACTAATTTAGAGAACTAAATATTTTGGATTGACTAACTGTATGTGTGCATGCTTAACAAGCAATATATATTCTACATTAGAGAATAAAATCACAGAATAATTTTCAGATTTCTGTATCTAAGATGGATTTCATTGATTATTGAATAAGCAAGTGTCTGAAATTAGAATATCAGATTGTTATGAAAAGTCTTTTCTAGACTTTGAACAAGAGACTGAAAATTAGGACATTGATATTTTATATTTAACAATATTTATATTTAGAAAAAACATTATTGCCTCAGAAAATTTTTAATATAGTTCAATAAAATTTTTTCTTTGAACTTGGGTTGATATTCTTAATTTTTTGTTTAATTTTCAATTTAAATAGGTTGAAAATATTTTAGTGAGTGATAGTGGTCATTATGTTCTCTGTGATTTTGGAAGTTGTGCAACAAATATAATGGATCCACAAGCCCAAGGAATTCCTGCAATTGAAGAAGAAATTAGAAGGTAAATGTTGTTTTGAATATTTCATGATAAGAAATGTGATGACCTGTTTAATAGGTATGCTTGAATTTTTTAAAGTATGTTTAAAATTGCATAATTTTTCAAATAAATTATAAATATAAAATGGTGTAGTTCCCCTTTTTTTATCATCATAATTTCATTGATGATGATATACAAATTTATTTGATAGGAACACTTTTTTTGAGATTATCACTAAAACAGTTAGTCAAAATTTTCAAAGTATTCAAATTTTATTATGTAAACTACTGAATATTTTATATCTTTTATGTAGTTATAATAATTAGAATAATCACACAATTTGTTTGTTAAAAATTACTTAAATTTTAAATATCACATAATTTTTATAGTGATTTTAAGGATTTTGTTATCAATTTTTATATTTATTTTACAACTGAACAGACTTTTTATACTAAATATATCTTTATTAAAATGTTCATGTAAAAAAAGTATAAAGTTTATAATTATTTCTAATTAAAGTATATTTGTTTTTACTATTTACATTATTCCAGTTAAAATGATTATTTTTACTCTAATTTTGATTTTAATTTGTTGTTAGATATACAACTATATCATATCGTTCTCCTGAGATGGTTGATTTATACAGTGGTCATCCAATTACAACAAAAGCTGATATCTGGGTAAATATTTAAAAAATTGTCATTTAAGTCATTTTTACATAATGCTAGAATTAATAAATATCACATAGCTTTAATTACATCTTTTTACAATGTGTTTAAATATATTAAAAAAAGAAGTGAATTTTTCAGCTAAAATAAGTGGATTTTTCTATTGACCAAGAATAAAATTGAAACATTTCAAAATAAGAAATCTTTGCAATCCAGCAATTTTTAATGAACAAGCATTTTTAATCATCTTAAGTAGCTATCTTTAGATTCTAGAATGTAAAAAGTTTAAAATATAGTTGCAAAAACACTAATATAACAAAAATAAATATTTAAGTGTAAATGTAAA